CTGGGAGCTGGTAGTTTATTGGTGCTGAAGGGTTGTTGACATCCATAGATGGCTGTTGTAAGTTTCCATGGCTCTCCTCATCCCTACCGAAATAATCTGAGCTAGAATGGAAAGCTTTTGTATAACTAGCATTATTTCTTGATTCTCCATCAAGACATGCAGTGTTAGAGAGTGTCCTTGGAGACCCATTTTGACCCAAGATGATGGGTTTGTGTTAGGTATTGGAAGCGTCATGCAGATGGGGGTTGCACCTGCAACCAATCCGTCCATTTGTATTAAAGGAATTGTGGTAAAATTTGTTTGGTTTGAATTCATGGTTGATTGAGTGGGTAGAGAAGAAGTTGTTCGCTTTTGTCGGAGATAAGATTGTATGAGTGTTCTTTTTATTGATATTTAAAGGACGCAAATCTATTATGATAGAATTTATGGTAATAAAAGTAGTATTAATTGTAGTTTTTAATATTCCTAGAATGTTCGAACTAGGAGTAGAAGGATTAACCTAGTAGTGCTTATTGTAGTTTTGATGTTTTGACATAATGAAGGAATGAAAGAATGAAAGAGAGAAATGAAGGACCAACTATCAGATAGAAGAACATCACCTTCCATATAGTGACTACATCTTGTATATAACCACGATAGCATCCTCAATTTTTGTTTAAAAAAATCATGAAAAAGATACCAACATTTTTGTCATATTGTATTCATAGAGTGCAACAAGTATATCAACTTACGGGTCGTTTGGTAGTTGACTAGAGTTATACATGTATTAGTAACGAAAAAGGGTCATATTTGCCCTTGTACTCTCATAAATAAGTCATATTTTCCCTTCATTACTTTTTCAACAAATTTGTCCTTTTCATCCAACTTTAGGGTCATATTTGCCCTTGTATTCTCAAAAAGGGTCATATTTACCCCTACAACGTTCAATATTCATGTAAATATATTTGCCCTTTTCTTCCTACTTTAGGACCATATTTACCCTTATACTATAAAAAATGTCATTCTTAAATAGAGATTTCTTTCACCTTTTAATTTTTGGCAAGCAAGAAGTAGAAAAAAACAAACAAAACCAACAATAACTAAAGTAGGAAAAGCGCAATTGTGATGAAAACGATATAGCAATGCGTCATTCTCTCTACCTTTTTTTGCCTTGAAAATCAAAACACACATTTGGGAAAGAGAAAGTGAAAAAAAGTGCTTTCAACCCAGATCACAAAGCGAATAAAGAACCAAATTAACAACTAGACAGTACATTTGTACCCTAACCATTATCACTGAATCTGTAAGATTCTCAAGCTCACAATGACAATATTGCCTTCGAAAATTAAAACACCTATTGGGGAAAGAAAGAGCGAAAAAAATTCCTTTCAACCCAGATCACAAAGCATCAAGGAACCAAATTAACAACTAAGCAGTACATCAGCATCAGTGTTTGTACCCTACTCCATTGTCACTCATAATGTCAATATTGCCTAAAAAAATAAAACTCACATTGGGAAAGAAAAAAAAAAGACGAAACTTTTGCTCGGATGATAAGCACCTTCCACCTCCAACTCAAAGAATGAGGGTTTGAGTCATCAAGTAGCAAAAAAGGTGCAACCTCTTAGGGAGGGGTAAAAAAAAACCCAGATCACAAAACCAGTAAAGAACCAAATAAACAATTAAGCAGTACAAAGCGCATCAGGATTTGTGCCCTTTACTCCATTTGTCACTCACAATGTCAATTTTGTATCACTAGCATCATTTCTTGATTTTTCCATCAAGACATGCAGCATTTGAAAGTTTTGACCAAAGATGAAGGGTTCGTGTTAAGTACTGGCGGCATAGTGTAGATGGGGATGGCACCCACAACCAATTCGTCCACTGGTATTAAAGGAATTGGTGGTAAAGTTTGGATTCATGGTTGATTGAGTGGGTAGAGAAGAGGCTGTTTGCTTTTGTCAAAGATGAGATCGTATGGGTCTTCTGATCATTGATATTTAAAAAAAGCAAATCTATTGTGATAGAAGTAGTATTTAATATTCCTAGAATGTTGGAATTATAAGTAGAAGGATTAACGGCCTGAACTAGTAGTATTTATTGTAGTTTTCATGTTCTGACATATTGAAAGAATAAAAGAGAGAAAGGAATGACCAACTATCATGAATAAGGTCGTGTAATAGATCTACCCTCTCCTTTGTTTTGAGCAAATGTAGAAGTGTGTCCATAGGACGACACTATGGAGCTGACTTATTCTGTTCATTTCTTTCCTTCCCATGTTCTACGTTTATTTGTCATTCTTAAATAGAGATTTCTTTCACCTTTTAATTTTTGGCAATTAATCCTTTTACTCGTAGTTCCAACATCCTAGGAATATTAAGAGTTGCAAGAAATACTATTTCTATTCCCATTAATTCAATCACAATAGATTTGCCTCCTTTAAATATCAATGACCAGAAGATCCATACAATCTCATTTTTGACAAAAGCGAAAAACCTCCTCTCTATCACTCAGTCAATCATGGATCCAAGCCATACAAACCTTACCACCAACTCCCATAATACCAGTGGACGGATTGGTTGCGGGTGCAACCCCCATCTACATGACGTCGCCAATACCCAAAACAAACCCAGGGTCGAAATGGGTCTCCAAGGCCACTCTCTCACAGTGCATGTCTTAATAGAGAATCAAGAAATATGCTAGTGATACAAATTCTTCCTTCCTAGCTCAGATTGTTTCGAAAGGGATGAGTAGAGCCATGGAGTTTTACAACAGTCATCTATGGATGTCGACAACCCTTTAGCCACCAATGAATTACAAACTCCTGGGTTACTTAAAGAACATTCCATCAAGGGAGACCATTGTACACTCTCATGCACTAACTCATCCAATAGCAGTGATAACTCGCAGCAACCTGAACATCTAAGACATAGACCCTTATACCATTACTGGCAAATACAGGTACTAGCGCAGAGAACTGGGTTTTTTCCCAACTATGGTTCCCTGCGCTAGTCCGTGCATTTGCTAGTAATGGTGCAAAGGGTCTATGTCTTGGATGTTCAGGTAGCCTGATAGAGGGGTTGTCACTACAATTGGATGGGTTTGGTGCATGAGAGTGCACAGTGGTGTCTCCCTTGTTGGAATGTTAAAGAACAATAAGTCCCCGGGAGCTGGTAGTTTATTGGTGGCCGAAGGATTGTCGACAGCCATAGATGGCTGTTGTAAGTCTCCATGGCTCGCCTCATCCCTTCCGAAATAATCTAAGCTAGAATGGAAAGCTTTTGTATCACTAGCATTATTTCTTGATTCTCCATCAAGACATGTAGTGTTAGAGAGTGTCCGTGGAGACCCATTTTGAGCCAAGATGATGGGTTTGTGTTAGGTATTGGCGGCGTCATGCAGATGGGGGCTGCAACCAATATGTCCATTAGTATTAAGGGAATTGTGGTAAAATTTGTTTGGTTTGAATTCATGGTTGATTGAGTAGGTAGAGAAGAAGTTGTTCGCTTTTGTCGGAGATAAGATTGTATGAGTGTTCTTTTTATTGATATTTAAAGGACGCAAATCTATTATGATAGAATTTATGGTAATAAAAGTAGTATTAATTGTAGTTTTTAATATTCCTAGAATGTTTGGACTAGGAGTAGAAAGATTAACCTAGTAGTGTTTATTGTAGTTTTGATGTTTTGACATAATGAAAGAATAAAAGAGAGAAAGGAAGGACTAGCTATGAGATAGAAGAACATCACCATCCATGTAGTGACTACATCTTGTATATAACTACGATAGCAGCCTCAATTTTTTATTAAAGAAATCATGAAAAAGATAACAACATTTTTGTCATATTGTACTCATAGAGTGCAATAAGTATATCAAGTTGTAGAACTTAGGGGTCGTTTTGTAGTTGACTAGAGTTATACAGGTATTAGTAACGAAAAATGGTCATATTTGCCCTTGTACTCTCACAAATAAGTCAAATTTTCCCTTCGTTACTTTTTCAACAAATTTGTCCTTCTCATCCAACTTTAGGGTCATATTTACCCTTGTATTCTCAAAAAGGGTCATATTTACCCATACGACGTTAAATCTTAATGTACTCAATATATTTTCCCTTTTCTTCCAACTTTAGGATCATATATGTCTACTTTTTTTTTGAAGAAAAAAAAAAGGCAAATATGGTCCTAAAGTTTGAAGAAAAGGGAAAATCTATTTTCCCTTATACTATAAAAAAGGTCATATTTACCCCTACTGCATTAAATCCTCATAACCCACCTTAATTTTTTAATGTAATTCTTGTGTCAGCCTAATGTGAAGACTATAATAATAAAAAGCACAACTATGCAGCTATAAGGAAGTGTACTAGCACTTCTAGAAATATTCAGCCGTGAGACCAGCTAAGTCTTCTATGTGTACCACCTTGTTGTCAACCATTGTATGTAGAATCTAAATCATAGGCTTTTACATTTTCAATAAGATTTTAGCTATTCTAGAACATTTGAATGCTTGAAGTAATAATACTCTTTTTATGAATACTTCAAGTATCTATATTTGTTTTGATAAATAACAAAATATCTAGTGTAACCCCAAAAGTGGGGCCTGGGGAGGGTAGGATGTAACCAGACCCTACCCCTACCTTTATGGGAGAAGTTGTTACCAATAGACCCTCGGCTAAAAAGGAATGTTGTTGAAGCAAATTTGCTTTGAACAATATTATGTGCACCATCCCGTTAAGTGAGCACAAATGTCTCTTGAGTGCATGGAGGAAGCCAAGCAATAAAATTTGAATGCTAAATGAGACAACAACAACATACCCAGTATCCCACATGAGACGACTATTGAATATAATTGTGCAACCCCTAAATAGAACATGCTTCACACAATAGAATGCAAACTAGAAATGATGACAATATCTTTATAGAAAGTACACTGAAATTAGCAATACTACTATTTCTCATTCTTGGACTCAATTTATATCATGAATAGACAGAAATATTTTCCAGTCACATGTAAAGGGATTAAAGCTACAGTGCAAGGTGTAAGATGATAGGGTATGGCGCATAAAAATTAGTCTTACTTGCTGATTGTCCGATGGATTTTTCAATCATGAGCATTGGCTTAACAAATGATTCAGCAATTGGGTGTGGCTCAGCCTCCCAACTCACAAACTTCTGAACTCCACTGTCTTTTGGTTGGCCTGAGTCTATCTGTTTTGTGTCAACAGGCACATCATAAGCAACCAATTTTTGATCAGGAACCTCAACTACAACTTTTGTAGATTGTTGCCGATAACCATATCCAGAATGACTAGTCTTGCGAGATGCAACAACTTGACTGCACTGCCCAGTCTTCGGCCTGTTAGATGTTGGGCTTGCTATCCATTTTTGTGCATCATCCCATTTGGGAAAGGGTAGGTTTTGAGAAATAAGCTAGGGACACCCTTTGTGCAGCCCGCTCAGCCTTTTGAAATTCAAAGAGAGGAGATACAGTACCAAGACTATCGATTTCGCCATCACAGTCCAAGCTACTGTCATCTTGAGACCTAATTGTTGTACTAACCAAAGATTGATCTTTGATTCTCATGTCATTAATCATCTCAATACATTGACAAATCAACTGCTAAGGAAGTCGAATTCTCAAGACCAACACTTACTTACATCTTTGCAATTCTCCAAATTACAACCTAGCAAGCAAAACACAAGTACTTGCATTCAAACTAACATAGTATGTAAGCAAGGTAAGCATTTAAGCAAGAAATGAAGGTACCCCCTAAGTACAAAATCTCATTGCGTAATATATAAAACGTCAATGCAATACTATACCAGAGTCATGGATCTCAGGCAAATGGGATCTCAAGGACACAGTGGCAGATTGAAGCTCTTGATCTTCTACTACATCATCCCTTCCTTCTTGTTTCCTCTTCTTTTCTGCTCCCAGTAGCATAGACCTCAGCTTTCTGGGGGACAGCTAAAACAAAACAAACAAAACGGAAGGAAAAAAAAGGCTTAATTTCCTAAAATGAAAAATGGGGTTTACATGGAAAGTGATAGCTCCGTATAACTATGTGCAGATTCAATGGATCAAAAGTTGATTTCTTTTTCAAACAAAAGGAGGATAATGCAAGTAGAACTCTTCTTGGATTTTGTTAGCTCTATAGCTTAGAAAGAGGCTACAAATCCTTTTTTTTGTGAGCTTAACTGATCTATCCTTGTAAAGCTTGCATCTTCTTGATGCCTTGAAATGAATCTACTTACTTCATAAAAAAACAAAAAAAAACTAACAATAACTAAAGTAGAAAAAGCCTAATTGTGATGAAAACGATATATCAATGTGCCATTCTCTCTACCTTTTTTTGCCTTGAAAATCAAAACACACATTTGGGAAAGAGAAAAAGTGAAAAAATTTGCTTTCAACCCAGATCACAAAGCGAATAAAGAACCAAATTAACAACTAAACAGTACATTTGTAACCTACTCCATTATCACCGACTCCGTAAGATTCTCAAGCTCACAATGACAATTTTTCCTTGAAAACTAAAATACCTATTGGGGAAAGAAAGACAGAAAAAAATTTTGCTTTCAACCCAGATCACAAAGCATTAAGGAAGTAAATTAACAACTAAGCAGTACATAAGCATCAGTGTTTGTACCCTACTCCATTGTCACTCACTCTTCAAGATTAACAAGCTCATAATGTCAATTTTGACTTAAAAAAAATAAAACTCACATTGGGTTCGAGTCATCAAGTAGCAAAAGAGGTGCAAGCTCTTAGGGAAGGGTTGAAAAAAAACCCAGATCACAAAACCAGTAAATAACCAAATTAACAATTAAGCAGTACATAACGCATCAGGGTTTGTACCCTTTACTTCATTGTCACTCACAATGTCAATTTTGCCTTGAAAATTCAAACTCACATACCGGAAAAGGAAAAAGAAAAACTTTTTGCTTTCAACCCAGATCACAAAACGGGTTTGATCGGATGATATCCACCCTCCGCTTCTAACCCTAAGATTGTTGGTTCGGAACTTCGAATCACCAAGAGAGCAAAAAGAATGAAGCAAAAAAAAAAATCCCAGATCACAAAGCGAGTAAAGAATCAAGAATTAACAACTAATCTGAACACACATTGAGGAAAGAGAAAAATTGAAAACTTTTGCTTTCAACCCAGATCACAAAGCGGATAAAGGACCAAATTAACAACTAAACAGTAAGTTTGTGCCCTACTCCATTATCACTGAATCAGTAAGATTCTCAAGCTCACAATGACATGTTTGCCTTGAAAACTAAAACCCCTATTGGGGAAAGAAAGACAGCGAAAAAAGTTGCTTTCAAGTTTCAACCCAGATCACAAAGCATTAAGGAACTAAATTAATAACCAAGCAGTACCTAAGCATCAGTGTTTGTACCCTACTCCATTGTCACTCACTCTTCAAGATTATCAAGCTCATAAATGTCAATTTTGACTTGAAAAAAGAATAAACTCACATTGGGAAAGAAAAGAAAAAAAAAGACGAAACTTTTACTCGGATGATAAGCACCCTCCACCTCTAACTAAGAGACTATGGGTTCGAGTCATCCAGTAGCAAAAAAGGTGCAAGCCCTTAGGGAAGGGTTGAAAAAAAAGCCCAGATCACAAAACCAGTAAAGAACCAAATTAACAATTAAGCAGTACATAACGCATCAAGGTTTGTACCCTTTACTCCATTGTCACTCACAATTTCAATTTCGCCTTGAAAATTCAAACTCACATTGGGGAAAAAAATTAAGAAAAAAAAAAAAAACTTTTTGCTTTCAATCCAGATCACAAAAGGGGTTGGTCGGATGTAACACCCTCCACTTCCAACCCTAAGATTGTCGGTTCGAAACTTTGAATCACCAAGAGAACAAGAAGGATGGAGCTAAAAAAAAAAATCCCAGATCACAAAGCGAGTAAAGAATTAAGATTAACAACTAATCCGTACATAGCGCATCAAGGTTTATACTCTTACCCCATTGTTACTGATCCTACAAAATTAACAAGCTGACACAGTCAATTTTACCTGTAGATTTCTCTTATCGATTCTTTCATACTCCAAATTAAAGGGTCCTACTCCTTCTTCCCTTAACATGTGATTTTAGGCCTGTGGGTGTGACAGTTTCTCTGAAAAAAGACTGAAATTGTACTGAAGAGAGTGTTCGCTGATCAATTTTGCCTTAAAAATGAAAACCCCACATACGAAAAGAAAAAAAAACTTTTTGCTTTCAACCCAGATCACAAAAGGGGTTGGTCGGATGATAAACACCCTCCACCTCCCACCCTGAATTCGTGTGTTCGAGTCACCAAAAGCAAAAAGGTCGGAGCTTGTAAAAAGAGATGAAAAAAGAAAAAGAACCCAGATCACAAAACAGATTAAAGAAGCATAATTAACAACTAATCAGTGTTTATACTCAAATCCTACTCCATTGTCACTGATTCAGCAAGATTTTCAATCTCAAAAAGTGAAATTTTACCTGTAAATTTCTCTTGTCGATTCTTTCATACTCCATAAAGGGTGATTTCAGGCTTGTGGGTGTGTCAGTTTCTGTGTGAAAAGAGTGAAATTGTAGTGATGAGAGTGTTGACTGATGAATCTTGTCGATATCTAAAATGGACAAAAAGAGAAAAGAAGACTGTGTAGTCCCTACACTCTTTACTTTAATATTTTTGACTCAAAACTAAAAAAGGAAAAGTTTCAAAGATACTACTTTTTACTTAGTTCAAGTGCAATTATTATCAAATACTAGAATATAAATTTTTTGTCTTGTGTTAATTAAATAATCTTTTGACCAATAATGATGGATAGGGTGTTCCAATTAATACAATGTATTTCCAATGAGAAAATGATCAAAATGGTCCTAGGGGGTTTGAAGTATTATGGTCTTTGATATATATTATTTAATTGAAATAGTCTTTCGGGTATGTAAAATATGATTGTTTTTTTTTCGTAGCTCTAAAATAGAACAGTTGTTGTTAAATTCTAATTGAAAAATTTAAAAGTTATTTTTTTTCACGGTTGAACCTGAAACCAGCAAGTGATGTTTGTAGATTAATTTGGATTTCTGATTTGTGAAGTGAGCTCGTGAATTATTCCTGAAAATTGTAGATTGAACTTGGGATTGAATTGTTGTTCATCCGCCATCATATTGGTGGATCTTTTTGCGTTGACTCCATTGATGTCGTTATAAAAATATGAAGCTTCAAGAAATTTGATGGAAAATATTTTTTTGTCACGAAATGGAACCTTTTAATTTCAAAATAGATACCCCAATTACTGTACAATAAAAAAAGGATTTTTGTGAACTTATTAACTTTCGTACTAGGACCTTAGTTTAGTAAATGTATATCTCTGGAATTTTGGTCATAGGCTAGGGGTACTTGTGTCTTATCCCGTGTTTGTAACTATATAATTATATATTTAAAATTGACAAAGAAACTAAATCAATCAAAAAATAATAATCATAAAAATCAAAGCGATGAAGAACTAACTTAAATCTTTTGTTTTGATTTTTAACATTTAAAAATCGGCTTAATTGATCTAAATTTTCTTTTTTAAAACAAACAAAAAAATAATTTAAACTGAACCTTGAATATCCCCACTCCATTATTAAATTGAAGTGGTATTTTATTTTATTTTTCCGAAAATTGAAGTGGTATTTGGTTTAGTTTATTTATCAATACACCTTAAATCCTTAATGTTCATGTCTAGTTAATTAACAATCTATAATAAAAACAAAAATTGGAACTTAGCGTCTTCGAGAGTTCTATATATATGTAAAATACTAAGATCAATGTTGTAAGATTTGATTTGCCAATAAAACTAAGATACGACATCATTAGATTTGTCAATTTTTTGCTTGTACAAGTGTGTGCACCATTTTAATTCAGGATTTACCTATATCTTATGTATGCAATGTCTTTAAACTATGTCTTATATATAAACTAGATAATAGCACGGGCCCAATAATATAAATAGTATATTTTGAGGCTAATAACCGAGTTTTTGAAGTGATTGTTTGCGTGGATAAAAGAATAAGTTTTTTTATCACAAACCTGTACTTTTTTTTATACTATTTAAGGCATAATAAGACTACCCACATACAACATTTTTGAAATATTTTATGTTGTCAATTATCATGATTTATAGTATTTTTACGCAATTTTTAAATATAAAAAAAATAAGACAAATAAATTAAAATGGACCCAATATATGTTATTTTTGTTGTCTCAATTTA